TTTGACAGTGCCTGGCATGTAAGTGTTCAGGTCTGATATCCTAATAAAAGTATAACGTATATAATGTAAGTTGTGAAAATTGGAGATGTTGTTGGTTTTATTTAGTTACTTGTGGTGAATTCTCTCAGGATATATTGCTATATAGGGTAGAAGTGAAATTCACTGCAATATAGAAATTCTAAACCCAGTAACTTTAAAGAGACATCATTCTCAATTCTCATTTTGTCCTAGTAGGTGATTGCTGATAGCTTTAGAGTGACTATTCTGTTATCCTTTGTCTTCTCTCCTTGCTTCTGTACAGAATCTGACCCCAGCCACTGATTCACTCATTTCTCTAAAAGCATACTATAATGTCAGCCTTGGCTCATACCATTTTTCTTACCAGAAAAGTTACCCTCCTTCCCCACATTTTTGAATTCTGTGTCCATCCTCAGTGCTGCTTTGGAGTTCCCCCACTCTCTTGACTATTGCAGAACATTTTCTTTTCCTTTAAATGTCATGGAAGCACTCATTTGACGCTTTGCTAGGATGTTTTTCTAAACTACATTGTGAAGTTTTCAGTATCTACTGTCTTTACCATGTAAAGGGTACAAAGCGATACCATCTTAGATAAATTTCTTGAAGCTTTCTAAGATGGAAAGGAAAAACTTCTTTATCCTCTTTGAGAATTAACAAAGGGGACTATAAAACTATTTAATAACTATTTAGTTGATCCCACTAACAATAAATGTGACCAGAGCAATGTAATGATAAAAGAGACGCTGTCCAACATTGAAAGAGAATCTTTGTTGACTAGTAGTCTGGTCTTGTAGCATTTTTTTTTTTTTTAAGTACTGCTAATTATCTCAAGTTGTATTGCATTCTCATGATTTTATAAATCAGTAAGTGGTAATAGCTCTGTACTAATCCAAGATCAAGAGGCAGGCTAGGTGACCTATTCCTAGTGAATCTGTCTTCTTTTACTGTGTAAATATTATATAGTAAAAGGAAATACTTCATTTATATTAAGTGGCCTGCATAATTACGTGTGTGTACATGTATCTTGTGTCATTTCTCAGGGTCAGAGCATTTAAAATTGAAAGAACTCTTTAATTCATCTTCCTTGTTTTCATAGATGAGGAAACTGAAAATCAAAAAGTTTAATTTTTCCAGTGACTGCTTGGTGACAGATCCAGCTTCCCACCAAGTGTTAGGCTCCCTTTCCCCACTACTCATAGCCGCATTGTTTATTTCTCTGAACATTGGGTGAATAATGCAAAGAATCACTTCACTTTTTATTTTTCATAATGAGAGGCAGAACTCTAGAAGACATTATAGCAAAATGGTATGTATCCTTGTGAATTGGCTTAAATATTTTTGATTCTTTTAGGCATGATACTGTTTTGAAATTTGTTATAAACTTAGGGTTTCCAAAGGATTATATTAATTTTTAGGGAAAAATCAGGAAAATATCCAAATTTTAAGTATCAGTAACCCAGAGTTTTATAATTGTGAAAGTATTGGAAGAAGAACCCCCAGACTGTCAAGCTGATACTACATTTTCAGTGATATCTGAGATCCATTCTGTTACTGATGTTCCAGGCCCAGTATTTATACAACATTCTCCCTGAGCTTATATGTACCTAATCTTTTACTTATTTCATAGCAGTATTCAGTCGTTCTTAATTTTTGTATTCCTGAAAAGCATTCATTTGTGTAATGAATTAAGAATCTCCTTTCTTCAAACGACTTTGGACACCCACATATTGGCTGTAGTCATTGATCCTGTGTCTGCATACTGCACTTCTGGCTAGACTGCTCCTGGGATGTTAGCAAAATTGAAGATTGTGCATATGATACTGTAACATCTCTTCTCTCTCCACCTGAAGATACAAACAAAAAAGAGCAAAAGTTTTCAGAGTCCAGAAAGAATGCACCAACTTCAAGTGTTAGTTTAGTCTAGTTGAGAGACTGCTATTTCAGTACCTTGATGGTAAAATAGTGTCTGATTCAGTTCAGTCAGTGAGTTTCTAATCCGAAACAAATTGTTATTACTTAAACAATTCTCACCTACACTTTGAGAAGAGCACGTTGAGAATTTTCTGATGAAAGACAGTATTTGTGCTGTTGCTTGAGATGTTGATACCTACTTAAGCTAAGAGTTATAAACATTAAGAAGGCTGTCCCCATATCTGAAAAAGATTGGTAGTCTTTCTGGATGAAAGAAATGAAAATAAAACAGTGGCAGTTTAGATGAGAGAATCCTACCTGTTGAAAATATTACACTTTTGTTTTTGTTTTTTAAGAATATTACCTAGTTGGGGAGGGAAGAAGGATGAAAGTCCCATTCTTATTTTGAATGTGTCCTTGTAGCTATAATCATTGATGTTAACTAGTGGTTTTGTTTATTATATTTTCTTTTCTGCAACAAAAAGTTATAAAGATGTTCTATACCTCAAATGTCAGAAAAAAATTAAGTAGCCCTGATGTTGTATATTGGGGGGAAAAAAGATACATGATCCGTACCTTAGTTTGCTTTTAATCAAATGGGGGATTGAAACTATATAGATGACAGCACAGGTTTAAAAAAAAAATGTGGCCTGGAATAAAGTTTTTTAAAAATGGTTGGTGTATACTCTGTCTACAAAGGAGGTATGATGATAAAGTTATATTTATCTTTATTCGCATTAAAATGATGACATGGGGGAGAAGACGGAGAAAAGTTTATGGATTTCTGCCCATACTTAGCTTGACTCAGTTCAGTCTTGTCCTCAAATGGATTCACTTGCATGTTAATTGCGATTAGGTGGTTTTCACATGCTATTTTCTTGCTGACCAAAAGTATGGACAACATTTAGGGTACAAAAACCATTTTTTTGTTGATGTTGCCTTGTTGTTAATGTCTTTCTTAAATTTTTTAGTTTAAAAGAGCACAGACTGTAAGTATATAACTCAGTCATCACAAGTGATCATAAAGTTACTTGATAATTTTTAAGAATAGTATTTCTGCTGTTTAGAAATATGGGGTAAGCAACTGAGGCAAGATTTAATAAAAATAGTAAATTCATATAAAAATATCTGAGATTAAAAATTTTTTTTCAACAGGTATCTCAAAATCATGATTGAAATACGGTTTTTTGGTTCATAGTTTTCAAAATGTTGTTCATGACTTCTGGAATTAAAATCTTTTAAATTGTACAAGTAATTCTGAAGTGATGCTGATGGGAAGAAAACAAAATACTAAACTGTGTAAAAAGTACAAGGTGAAAGTCGTCATCCTATCCAGTTCCACCACATCTTCCTCTGTCCAGAGCTGCCGCTTACAGTTTAGTATGTAACTTCCCATACTTGTTTGATGCCTACATACGGCGTGTTTTACAACAGTGTGACTTGTTTTTTTACATAAGTGGAATTCTCCTTTACGGTGTGTTCTGTGACTTGTGCTTCCACTCAGCCTTGGAAAGCTTTATCTGTCGTTATAGTACAGACTCCTTTTTCATTGTTGTAATTTCTTTAATGGTCCTTCTGATAATGGATACTTGTTTCCAGTTTTTCAGTGTTAGAAAAAACACTACAGTGAATATTCTTGAGCATGTATTTTTGTGAACTAGTCAATAATGAAGGAGTTTCTTGTTGACTAGTAGTTTCTCTGTATTCTAGATGTTACTGTGTCAATTATATATGCAGATGTTTTCTCCCTATGCACTTGTCTTAGTGTCTTTTGTCATATGAATGTTTTAAATAACTATGCAGTTAAGTCTGTTGATCTTTTCATTTGTAATCTCCTTTGTGGATTCTATATTTCTATATTATTTATACTCATTTCCACAGAGATATTTTTACTTCCTGTTTTTTAACTGTCACTTGTAAGACTTTTTCTAGAACTCTGAATGATGGCAAAATGTATTCGTATATTATACATTACGATGGCATGTAATAATCACATAAGGATCAGTCACAGTTCTGATGATCTATCAATTTCAGAGTTATAAAATAAATATAATAAATTCTGGAAAAGCATTGGGGCTTTTGTGTTATTTATGGAATCACAGTAGGTAGTCATTATTTTTAGTAAATTCATTTTTGACAGGTAATATGCCAGGCACTAAATGATAACAGTGGTACACAAGTAAGAAGTAATCTCTTTGATTGTGAATCCTTTAGACACAATTATTACCAGAAATTTATTTCTGTTGTCAGAAATCTTTCCTCAGCATGTAGCTGCTGCTAGGGATTGTTCTCTGCTTACCTATGCTGCCAGTCAGTGCCAGATTACCCAGCAAATATACCAGCAAAGTAGGGTCCCAAAGTAAAAAAGAGCAGCCTTCATTAACTTACTCAGTTTTGTTTCCTGTATGTGTGCACGTGTAGTGTGGCACACTATACATAGGGCGAAGGAAGAGTCAGAACACTAATACTTGCAGTGTCTGCGGCCTCTAATTTGGCTCTGTGGATGTTTATCCCACCTTTCTATCTCGATACCCCACAATTTGGGCTGATTTTGTCCCAACATTTCCTGTGGAAGTAGCATATAATTTTCTGCTTCTTCCCTATAATAGGAGGGAATACCCTCATAGGAGGTACCATGAAGCCGATACATCTCATAGACCCTGTCATCAGCTCACTTCTACTCTCTACCTTCTTTCCATACCTAATTAGTACAGTTTGAAAAAATTACAGTTTTACTGGTACGCTCCTCCCCTTGTTCATAGAGGAGATTCATGGAAGGGAGGAATCCCTTCTTCTTTCTAGATGGAATACTGTCCCGTTAGGAAGAAGTGACAAGTGAAAAGACAGGTGGTTGTTTTTTTTCCTTTTTGAAGGAACTAGAACTTACAGCTCAGCAGATTTGGATGAGTTTGACAGTATTTCAGCTAGGTTACTATTTTTTTTGAACTAGATTTGAGTGCATTTGCTAATGTAACCAGTACATATACCTATTCATAACCTGAAATTTGCCTTTAAAGTCACAAAAGCACAAAGCACTGTAGTGCTTGTAACACTCTTCCGTGTTATTGTAGGTAACTAAATGACCATGGAATCTGGAGCAGAGAACCAGCAGAGTGGAGATGCGGCTGTAACAGAAGCTGAAAACCAACAAATGACAGTTCAAGCCCAGCCACAGATTGCCACATTAGCCCAGGTATAAAATACATGGAGAGATTCCAAGTTATGTCTCTTCTAAGAGGAGTATGTTTCAGACAGGAAGATTTAGTTCTTATTATAGAGAGAAGCATAGAACGAGCAGAGGTTCTTAGGGTATCAAAGTTCCTGTTTACTTAGTATTATTAGCCTAATTTTAGAAATGATGTAATTAATTTAGTAACATAACAGAAAACCGTATTTTTAAACACTAGTTATCTGTTTGTAGTGACCTGATTCGGAATAATGACATTTTAGTAATGGGTAGATTGTCTCTCTTAAACCAAGGAAGAAAACCTGGTAATGTTAACTATTTCGTTTTGTTTTTTGGTTTTTTGGTTTTTTTTCCATATCACACAGATTTATTCTGAGGCATGAGAATATAGATAATCTGAGAGGCTAAGTTTTCCATGTGCTTAAACTAAAAAATAGGATAAACAAACTGACACACAAGTAAATTTCAAGGATGATAATGGTTTTTGTTTCCTGTATCCTTTAAATATAATTCACGATTCTTTAACTTTGTCTTTGTCTTAAACATTCTATCTCTAAAGTCATATTCTCTCATCCTTATTTTTTGTTCTGGTGTAGTTTTCCTCAAATATTTTAAATAATATTAACCATTATTTGCATATAAGTGAGAAAGGTAGTTAATAGAAGACATAAACCTGCTAGATAAAAGAGTGTGATACTGTCTCTTTCTGATAAAGGCTCCCAGGAGAATATGATCCTAGCAGAGGCTCTGGGATGTTGAACTTCAGCGTCCTGAAGAACTGAAAAGCCTTCCTAGGGGAGTCCCTGAGTTTGAATGGGTCTTGGAGAATAGGGGGCTAACCACAGACTAAGGGGGGGCTACTACACTAAGCCAAAGTGTGGGCCAAATACTGGAGCTCCAGCAGGACAGAGTCACAAGGAGTGGGCTGCTGTCTGTTTTCTCCTGATTACTAGGGCCCACCTCCACCCCTCAGGAGTTAAGGCAAAGCAGAATATATCTGGGGGTGAAGTAAATACTTGGATGAGGCAGGTGCAGAAACATAGGGGGAAAATCCAGGGCTTCGTCAAAATGTGGTCAAGGCAAACATGCAGAGGTGAGAGTCTGGATTTATCCAACCATTTGGCCTGGTAAAAAGAAGGTACAGTGCCAGCAGGGATCTTGGTGATGAAAACCTTCCACTTACTGTCTCTTGGGTGGCACTATTGTGTCTGATCTGGTTGTCCTCTGAGTCTGCTATATAATGCATTCTTGGAAATTCCTTTCCCCTTACTGTCTTTCTCTTAATCGAGTTTGTGTTCTTGACATAGTAAAGCACGGTTTCCAGTGGTTTCTTAAGCAAGTTTGGGTAAAGAAGTCTTGGTAAAGAAATCCTTTTTCTTTCAAAGTTTGAAGGCATTGATCCACAATCACCAAGCAGTGTTGCTGTTTTAAAGGACTGAACCACTTTTTTTCTCTCTCTGGTAGTGCTTCACCATTTCATTATTAGGACCTTGGCTTAAATAGTTTTCATCCATTGTGATTGATATATATATATATATATAT